TGCTCTAATAATGATTGCAATGAAAATGAAGTTTACAATTAAACTAAGTTATAGTTATATTCTTGGCTTTATCTTTGTTTTCAGAAGTGAATTGTTTGAATATAAGAGTATAGGTGTAGATAAAGACAACAGCCTTTGCCATGAAATCTGCATCTAAATTGACCAGGCCTAATAGAGTAAAGTTTGCAGTATGAGATAATAGACCAGGGATCATTAACTGGAACTATAATATATAATTAAATAAAATATGCTATTTAGTACAGTACTGATAATTATTATGACAACAGTTATAGATTCATATACCTCTTCGTAATAGACAGCTGTCCTGTCCTCGGGATCAGTTGACAACACATACTGATAGAGAAGACTTTTAGCTTCAGCTGAGTCTGCGTTCACATCAGAGGTTTGTTTGAGAGTATAGAAGAGGGAGAACAACATCAACACAACCAAAGCAATGGTCAGCAGAATATCGAGAACATTGGGCTTCTCTTCGGCGCTGAAAAGACTCAACACTTCTTCGATTTCAGTAACGATTCCGAAGAATAAGAGCACAAAATAACCGAAAATAAATATATTGAATATTTCGTCAATCTTTCTGACGGCACTTAAGTTTGATCGGTACCTGCAGTCATGAGAAAACAAAACATTAATTATCAGTATTTTAAAGTCAGTTTCAATTAACCAAATTTTGATGATTTCCAGTTGTTTGAGGTCAGGTCTGACCTTTCTCTTGATAAGTGTCTCAATATAAAAGTTCAAATGTTGAAATTTAAATTTCATGATCCAGCACAATACCACGTATAATACCATTACAAACAGTACCACATATAGTGAATACAATGCTATAAAACTGAATATCTTATTGGTCCAAATGGTGTCCGAATCGGTATTAATGGCCACAACAATGACAACAGCAATGTATGAAAGACACAAAACCATTAGTGACAACACGAATATTGTTAGGAATGTGAGCTTCACTTTGTACTTGATTTTGAAGTAATTATAATGCATAAGAATGGTCTGGTCCAATTCTGGGACCTGATCTAATTGTGTAATCAGTGTTCGCAATGTTTGTTTATAAAACCAGATGAGATCCAGTGCTGAAACACCTGACAAACTGTACAGAAATGTGAATATCTCGTCCCATAACTGATCCGTGAGTTCTCCCAATTGGAAGATATGGTAACAGACGCGACACATCCAGAAGCCACAAATCACATGAACCATAGTTACGATGAAAAATGAATATATCTTTGAATTAAACGTAAATTTGAGAATAAAAAACAGATAAAACTTATGAAGACATACCTGGATGAGTCCGTGTCGGCTCAGGTATTTGAATGCTTTGTCGGGATCTTTAAGACAATAACTGATGGGCGCACCCGTCAATGCAAACGGATATAAAACCCGTCGAAGAATGAGATAATAACTGAAATCTTTCCTCAATTCTTTGATATCAACGGACAAAACAGAAGTGATGTCATCTTCAGGAGGAATTGATTTATTGGATTTAATTGACATTTGATCTTCAGGTATATTATTGGGGGATAATTGATTGTCAGTAGTTTCCATGTTTAATCACAAATATTATTTTAATCAACTTAAATAAAAAGTTTTAATTATGCAACATGTATCTTTATAAACATTATTCGATAAAATAAAACCACGTTGCTGACAATAACACATAAATTATATTAAAATTTTAAAACAAATTAAAACATTGTTTATATTGAATTTATTAAATGAATTAAAATGATAATCTCTTTTGACAATTATCTCAATACAAGAAATATTCTTATTATCAAACATAGGAAATTGAAACCCAATCACAGGTATTCACAAACTGATAAGATATAAAATAAGTCTAATACTGTATACACTGAATAAGTTATATTAATGAGTTTTATATAAAAGGCAAATTAAATATTAATTAGTATACAGTAAATAATAAAAATTAATTTTGGCAGATAATGTGAATAGAAAACAATGAACAGTGAATTGCATTTTTATCATATATTTTCATAATTATACAAAAGTTTTGCTATTTTAAAAGCCAATACAACGAGAATAATTTGAATCAAACAAATGACAATAGAAATGGCGGTCAGACTTAGGACCCGATATCTGAATTTATTGGTGATGGCGTCAACGCATCCAATACTTTGACTCACTTTCCGTGCATTACATTCAGATAAACGTCTTCTTAAGTCATGACAACAGGAGACCGGAAAGAGTGGTCGGCTCTCATTAAAGTGAACATTGAGTTTCCAGTCCAGAGGGCTGTGGGCGCCGCAACACATGAGCATATATTGCAGTTTATCGATAGCCGACGGTTGACTACTGTCTTCATATTGACGCCAATTGTATTGTCTTATGGCAGAAGTGATGCGTTTATACGAGACGTCTTCCAACTGAGCGATCAATTTGAGGGCCAAACCGATGGCAATGCACTGCACTATCAGTAAGAGGATATTGACGACACTGAAAGAGTACAGCATTCGGGAGTCAGTGAGGGCTGCGGCACAGTTGGCCAACACCGACACCAATACTATTACAGCCCCGACCGCTATGAATATGATAACTGTCGAGTTTGGCACCTTCTTTATAACCATTTCCATCCCATCCCCTATTATTAGCTTATAATTGGTTTTAAGTATAGTTCCGATTAATACTAAAACTAATCCAAATAAAAACCAAATGCCATTAAACAAGAAGAACATAAACTTAAGAAACGATAACTTATTAGTATTTGAACTCATTTTCAATCAAACGTTCATTTGTTATAAAAATTCAATTCCAATTAATTTATTCACAAAATGATTACACATTTAGAAAATATAAGGAAAGCAAAATGACATAACTTTCCCGGAAGTTTGCAAAAAGTATTGAATTCTCTCAATATTCCCTATAACTGTAAACAGTGTTCAAGAGATAATGAACTCATTCTTACGGATATCATAAATAATTTATATTTCAATTTTGCTATTAAACCATAGTTTGAGTCGTTTTAAAATTATGAAAAACAAAACTGCAGATGATTGCAATTTGCAATTAGTAATTGCCAATTACTATGCTTAGACACATGTGATTACTGTGGATTGTATCACTTTAAGAGGTTATCAATGGAGATTATGGTTTCACGGATCAATTTCACAGATAATATACAACCGTTTAGTAAAAATTAAAATATTTTGGAAAACCATTTGGGAATGAAATCATGTTTAAACATATGGTCATCAACTCAAAACTACTGTATAATGAAAGTTGAATCAATGTTATTTTCAATCAATAATCAATAGGTATACTAATAACGGTTAAATACAGTATTTTATTAATTTCAAGTGTATATGATTTAAAATAGTTGGCAAATAATATTCACCAAAAATGTTGTTTTTAATCATTATAAATATAAATGTTATAAAATCAGAGGTTTATAATAATTGAACAATATTTAGAGTATTGAAAATGTTCACTCATTTTCATTGATAATTAATAAAGTATTGAAACACAAAAGACTTAATATTTAGAGTAATGATATGATACTGAATACCGTAATAATAATGTCGAAAAATCACATTTTTGTTAACTTCACACAAAATAACAATTTATTGATGAATTGAGTCATATAACAAATACCGGTTAATGATTAGCTAAAAATTGAAGATTTAAGTAAATCCATGAAAATTATTAAAAATTAGTAAAACCAATGAATCAATAATTTTGGATTCAATTACTGGTTAATTGTTTTGAGTTTTTTGTCATTAGAGAGAATGGGTTTACAGAGAGAGCACATCCACTCTTCGGTGTCCACCTCGAGAGCCGAGCACTTGATATGAGTGGCGTTAGCGCCACAGCCATCGCACGCCAATATCTCCCACTCCTTATCGCCATTGAAATCCTTGCCCTTCCTGGACAGACACTTCTCGACCGAACACTCGTAGCGGTGGTCATACAAGTCCTGAAAGGTGGAGCCCTTCTCCCAACTGGCGTCCCGGGAGGGCACGTGAACCCCAAACGCCTTCATTTCGGTCACGAACTCATCCCTATTGTTACAGTTGGGACACTTCAGGTGGTGTTTGCCCGCGTGATAGGCCTGTTTGATCACACACTCTCTGTGCATCCAATGCCCGCAACACGGCGTCCACAGTGTCTTAGGGGAGGGCTGTGGGGGCGTCACCTCTTCGCGACAAATGGCGCACATCCGGTCGACCGCCTTCTGGTTCACGCGTCGGGTCTTCTGCTTTGGTCTGTGTTTCTCGCAATACGACGGATAGGACTTCAGGGGGTCGTGAAAGGCGTGGAAACTGTTGTGGACGAGTCCGCACGTCAGGTGAAACTTGACGGCACAGGAGGTGTCGCAGCACCCGATCACTGCACCCCTCCTGTGACAGTAAGTGCACGACAACTTCGAGGCCCGACGCACCTCCTTCTTCATGTCGGCCGCCAGGAAGCCCTTGAAGTCCTCATCGAGGCCTCCGTTCTGTTGCAGACCGGGGCTGAAGAGTATGCAGTAGTAGTGGGCACTCATGCCATTCCTGACCATCATTTTGCCCATAAAGTACTTGTTCTTCAGATTCTGTCCGCAAAACACACAATCGGGTCCTCGAAGACAACAAACACACCGTTACATCCCATACACAGCTATTGTCATATGTATTGTCACTTACGATCACCACTGGACTCGTTCTCCTCCTCAGCCATTGCCTTACGTTTGCGTTTTGAAGACATTATCAGTGAATGAAGTGATGGTCTGATTGGCAGTCACTTGCGTTCACTCAATGAGACAAACACTCAATGAATGTCTCGTTTGGCGCTCAACGCTATTCACTGTCCGTGTGTTTCACACTTTGAATGCCTATTCACTCATTGGTCCACAACTGGCACTGCAGTCACTGCACGACATCTAATGGCACTCACAGTCAACCACTACTACCACTCATTTCACTGTCAGTTTGACTCTGTTTGCAAACTTTGGTCTCACATTTAATTGTAGCGTGGTCATTTTGGTCATTTTCATCATATACCATACACTTCACACCAGATTTGTATGTGTCATACAATCACTATTTGATAACTCATTCAACATTTGTATTCATAAATAGCTTCCCATTTGACTATAAATAGCATTGAAGGCATCACCGAACGGATCCATTGCCACCACATTGTAAGCGATGTCTCACTGCATAGTGTTGGTCCAGACGGGCAAACCGGACTCCCGGACGTACAGTGACTTCGAGTCGGTGAACGAGGCCATATGAAGGCATCACCGAACGGATCCATTGCCACCACATTGTAAGCGATGTCTCACTGCATAGTGTTGGTCCAGACGGGCAAACCGGACTCCCGGACGTACAGTGACTTCGAGTCGGTGAACGAGGCCATGGAGGGTGTCTGTCATATCTATGAGCAGCACCTGAAGCGCACTAATCCGGACATCCCGTCCATCACGTACGACATCTCACAGCTCTTTGACTTCATCGACCAGTTGACTGATTTGAGTTGTTTGGTGTAAGACATGCTGATCATTACCACCAATTGATTGAATTGATTGATTGCATTGTCGTTGTGTTTGTCGTACAGCTATCAGCGCAACACCAATACCTATGCGCCCTATGATAAGGAGTGGATCAAAGAGAAGATCTATATTCTGCTCAGAGGTGTGGCCAACAAGACATCATAGGCCACCAGATGATCACAACCACCACTTCACACACATATTACCAGTTTCTCTTCCCTCCCCTCCAGATTCTACTCAAATGTTATCATAATATTGAGTCTCAAACTGATCCATAGTTTAGCCATACTTTTATTGATAATTATGTCTATGGTATTAATTTATAAGAAATCAAACTATTTTTAAAAATATTTAAATTGAATTACATTTTCTATAATCATTTGTTAAATTAGTATCTAATTCCCAACCCTATCCCTTAAATGATTGAATATATGTTTAAATCGAGTTTTTATGAGATTTATGCAATTATTGTTTGTTTGTCTTAATTTTTAAGTATCTAATTATGAGAAGATTAAGTATAATCTCTATATTTATGGTATTCATCTGATAATTATTTGAATTGTTTTAATTATTAAAATTTTCATAACTTTTTTTACGAAATTTGTTAACCATTTGTGTAATTATTTGTGATTACTATATTAGTCAAAATATACGGTAATGCATATAAAAATGTGAAATAAAAGATTTTAAAATAATTTATTGATTAAAATTTTAGAAAACATTATAAAAACTAAATCTACTTTAATTATTTAAATAATTTAATTTTAATGCAATTTACGTTTATTAATATCACAATAAAAAATACCGGTATTTAAAAATAAACTTAATATTTAGTAAAATTCTATATAAATAATACTTTTTGAATAAAAAAGTTAAATTCATAATTAAAAGGCAATTAATATTGCAATACAGTATACAGTAGTGTACCATATATTCAAAACTTCATAACAGGTTTCTCTTCAATCAATTGGTTTTGTTTGTGTTGTTTTTGTCGAAAACCAATCAACACATGAATGACAATCAAAGTGACGATACAAGAGAGGGCACAGAAGAGGGAGGCGTAGATGAGGGACAGGGGGTACGACTCGATATAGTTGGCTATCGCCAGCGGAACAAATACACTGCCCAGAGTGCCAGACATGTTCAACACTCCACATACCTGTCCAATATATTCTTACATTAGTTTATCATTTATTTGAAGTTTATTTAAATTACCATTGAGTTCATAGTTATAGAGCTTTCCATCAAAGCATAAAGTGATGCTATAATACTGGACAGACCCACACCTGGACATTCATGCCATACATTAGGAATATATTGATTTGAATGCATATAAGAGTTAAGCAATGAATGAATGCATACCGAGAAGACAGACTCCAAACCAAAGCATAACGAGTGAAGTGTTGGAGAAAATGATGAGAACGACGAGTGATATGAGAATAACCGACAAATTCATGTAAAGCATTGTGAAGTGATTGAGTTTGAGGGCCAACACTATACTGACTCCCTTTCCCATTACATTACATAAGTTGAAAATTGAGGTAAGGAAAGCGCCCCCGGATTTGGTTAAGTGTAAGTCAATGTTCGCCGAAAATGAGGCCAAATATGTGACGACCACTTCCTCGAAGAAGAAGAGGTAGAAAAGTGAACACAAAATGATTATCGAAAACGTGTATAACTTTGGCTCTTCTCGTTTGGACTCTTTTTCATTCTTCTCATCACTCGATTGCGAGAGTTTATCCTCACAAGTGATGGTAGAGATGATAGTGGCCTGGGATGAGGCCATCATATTGGCTGACCGACTCTTGCGGACAGTATAGAAGTATTGGAAAAATACGAGAATCGCTGCCAACACAAGCATCAGTCCGTTAATCATATACGGGATATAAATATAATTCTCCAGCTCCGAGGGTGTCGATTCCGTGCCATTCATTACAATTTTGATGACCATTCCTGATATCTTTGTCTGATTGATAGACTTAGATGTCGGTGATATGTCTTCATCTTCTTCAGGTATAAGAAACGGCTCCACAATAATAGGACCCAATATATAGCCGAGTCCTCTGAAGAACTGTAAGGCTTGCATATAAGGCGGACACGAGTCCTGCCATATCTCCAGAATCCAAGCCTCGCAGGCATTAATGGCTGCACCGGATGTGACACCGATTATGAACTGAAGGACCATAAAGAAGTAATAATCCTGAATCAATGTGACAAAAGAGACGACTATTCCAAGCATCACCACAATTGATGCCAACGCCACTTGTTTAGGCACCCATTTGAACAGAAAACCACCTTTTGTTAAGGAAAGACATGAAATTCAGTGAAATTCATTTGTATTAATTCTATGACTACAGAATCAAGACTTTAAAAATACTTGGTTTTGAATATTAACTCATTTGAATCTCTAATTAAGTAATTATGAGCCAATGGCTCACTTCCCTTGTGTTCAACACCTGGATGTATGACTTCGGCGACATAACAGCCGTTGAGCACTTGACCCGTTGACCGTCGCCGACATTTCAGCTTTAAGAGCCTTTAGGGCTATATTTACACTAAAGTTTCAATACTATATTTACTTACAATTAGTTCTTAAAGCAATTGATATAAATAATAGACCAATGAGTGAGGCCTATAAAAATCATATCAATCAGGAATTAAACCTTTAGTTAAGAATTATTTTAACTAGTATTACAAGCATTTTCATAGTTTATAAAGACATTATCAAAACATACACATTTTCTCAAATGAATACATTTTGTAAAATTAACCTTATTGACACTTATTTGTAACTTCATTTGAATGTACCGTTACTTAAAAATAGTTTTAATTAGGGTTTATTTGTATGAATATATTATAAGATAATATATGACCCTATGATAGAATCTTATAGTAAAAATGATCAATTGATTAAAACCCAGAATTGAATATATGAATAACTTGAATGGCAAAGTTGAGACAAATGAAATGAATGGTGACTTACTTGAGATGGCACCGACACACACGCCAATACTGGTCACTGAGAACACGAATGACATTTGCGATTGACTGACCCCTAACTGAGTGCCCAAATCGAGAATTGTTGGGCCAAAGATGCCAAACCGGATCGCCTGTCAATCATTGATAACAAGGTAAGTAATCGATAGAAATGTGAGATAAGAGACAAGTGATGACAGACCAGCTGAAGGAACAGAAAATAGATAAGTGCAGTGGTAAGCAGTCTGTGTGCTAAACTCTCCAAACTCGCCATGGTCATCGATTACTGTCCAGTAAGACCAATCGGTATGCATACCACGGTTAAGTTAACTAATAATAATTAGTGGCTTTCAAATACTGCTGTCAATTGAAAAATAATTTTCAATTCTCGTGTGTTTTGTGATACTCTTTGAAGGAGTTCTCGTTGAATACTAAAGAAAACTATAGTTTTCGTTACTTTTTATTCATTTTATTGTCGCAACTTTACAAATGAATTTCTTAACACTACTATATAATGAACTACTTTTCATTTTTAGATAACAATGATTTGGATTTTTTCTTTCTCTATATTTTATGAATGAAAGTTATCAGCAAAACAGCACAAAAGGTGTTCAATACATAGCTCCCACTGCATATCATTTCCTTGGAAAACAATTTACGCTAAAACACTAAGAATTATATTATTTTATTACTACAGAAAAGTTTGGTTTTTGCCGGATTAAAGTAGATCACCATTTAGTGCATCACAACCATTAATCAATGCTTTTATTTTTAACTTCATTCATAAAAATTATACAACTAAGTTTGTAATACAATTGTTGTAGATTTCAAACTATTCTAGCAATACGTGATAAACAACACATTATTTAATCCAATATTCTCATGTCATAGGAACTAAGTTTTTAATTAAGTTTTAATATTAATATTTTATAGTTTTGTAACTGTGTTCAGTGTTTTCCTAAATCTGTATATTTTTCAACTATAGTTCTGCTCTTACTCTGCAATTTTGAATTCAAAATTCAATTTAATATTTTGTATTTGCATTCATAGTAAAGTATAGGATTTTGGTTTTGTTTCCATACATTTGTAATGAATCTAATGTTAAAACCATATTTTAGGTTAAATAATGTACACAAGTAAACAAATAATCAATGGTTCGTAATCTTTAATCAAATGTTTAATATAAATAATTTTGAATTCAGTTCATAAAATAAATCTTTATATTACCAAGGAGTGATTAGTGAACTAAGTTATTTAATTAAACATTAATATAAATTTTGTTTTTCTAATCTCATAGTATAGTAGAGAAGTTTCAAACAGTTAAGTTGTAAAAATATAACAAATAATAACAAAATTAATTAAAACATTTCATTTAAGTCTATATCTATAGTTGTGTCTGTATTTTAGAGTTAAAAATTGTTTACTCTATATTTATTTATTACATAAACAAATTGAAATCGAGGCTATACTGATAAATTATAAACAATGTAATTAGATATTTAAAGCACTTTAAACGCTTTCAATTTAAAACTTGTTATAACTATCAATATTAATATTTACACCCATATATTATACTTATAGAAAATATATTTTTATTTAAAGTCTATTTGAGATATTATTTGTTTCTCACAAAGTATTTATTCAGTATATTTATGCAATCCTAGGAACTTATTGGTTTTATTCAAATGACTAAATTAATATTTCTGAATATAAGGTTATCATAAAAGAATTGTTAAAATATACTGTATATCTAAAAGTCATTCAACAAATTGATTTTTAAAACAAGAAATTAATTCAATGATTTTTACAGTTGAAAACCAATTTATAGTAGATTCCCTCACATCTCAAGTAAGTTATCTCTACTTTATGTTTAGAAATTAAATCAAATATTTTTCTATCTATATTTTTAATAATGTTTCAAAAGTAAATCATTTCAGTATTTATAATAATGTGTCGTGAAATAAAGTATTTCATATAAACTTTAGTAATCCCTTTATTTTAATTAATTATTATTGCTATTATTGTATTTAAAATCTTTGTATGAATTGTGAAATTTTTATATTGGGTATATTCACACGTCAAATATAATATTTATCAATAAACTAAAAAATGTTTTCCTCTGACTTTTATAACTTTTCTAATAAAATACTTTTTATGATTACTCATTAAAATTGTTAAAAGAGATCCTTTTACAAATAATAATTGAATTATTTATTAATTACAATTTAATGTAATATATTTATATGATTTCCTTTATTAGTTTACAAAAAAATGTTTAAATATCTGGCCATATTAGGCTATCAAATGATTGTACTAAGTTTAGATACAAATGAATTATATGTAACTTGATATATTTCCAATTATTAATCTCTTTTGATATACTCGTTGTCTAAATTTCGCATATAATTAATGTTTATAAGTATTTATTGGTTTTTACAAGTCGGATTTTTTTCTACATTTATGATTATATGAAATATAATTAATTACTTTAATCATGTCATAAAATTTTTGTAGAGATCATAATAAACACGATGTGAATGTGAATCACAACTGATAATGGATGTTCTCGGTTTTGCAAATACCAGATTAGTATCACTAGGTTAATTGGCTTGAAAAAATAACATTTTGCACAATATTATGAAAATTCAATTGCTCCTGGTCACCGAAAAACCCGATAATATTTTTGATTATCTATTAGTAATATAAATAGCACTTTAATCCAATATAAATTGAATCAATTTCAGTGGCGCAATGGTAGAGTGTCGCCCTGCTAACCTTTTGATTACTGGATCGATACCACCTTGGTGCAAAATTTTTTGTTTTACTTTTTACATATATTATATATAAATTGCATATAATATTAATTATTTTGATTAATTAAATGATACTATTCATAAAAATAACAATTAATTAAAAAATATTACAAGAATATCATTAAATTAAACTTATAATTGTATTTTGTTTTGTAATATTTTGATTAATTTTTATAATATAATTATATATTAAATAATACTAATAAAATTATAATTAAATCTGCTAATTAATCTATAATTTACTAATGAATTAAATTAATGTAGATATAATTTACTTATTTGATTTTTAAAAATATTTAAATAAAATTTAATAATGAAATTAAATTTTATGCTGCACTATATGTGTCAAACTGTAATATTAATATTGTTAATAATGATGTGATTTTAACATTGAATTATTTATTAGTGAACTGTAATATAAAATTTTAATCGAAATATTACAAAACAAAATACAATTATAAGTTTAATTTAATGATATTCTTGTAATATTTTTTAATTAATTGTTATTTTTATGAATAGTATCATTTAATTAATCAAAATAATTAATATTATATGCAATTTATATATAATATATGTAAAAAGTAAAACAAAAAATTT